GGTAAAATTTCATTTGTAGATTTTATCTTTATAGGCTTGTATATAACACAACTCAAACTCAAATCAAACACAATTCAAACTAAAATCAAACACAACTCAAACAAACTCTACAAATTTCCATGCAAAACTTCCTATAACCATAAACGAAACTCTACACAACACTTTCTGCAAGCTCTCCAAAAGTCCCTCATGTACGAGCCCCCTGCAACAAATAAATTAAATTTATTTAGCATTACAAATAAAATAATGTTAAATTTGGTGCTAAAGCAGAAAATGCTGTAGTAAATTATCAGTACACTGGTACCAAAAAAAAAAAAAAAAGTAAAGCAATATATTAAAAGAAAGGAAAACTACTATAGAAAAAGAGCACTAGTGTTACAACGACAACTAGTCAAACTAGTAAGTACAATTACTGGTAAACAACCAACAAAAAAAAATCATGGTGGTCTAGTTTCAAACAACTACTGTCCAATCAAACAATTAAATTCAAAATAATGGGTAGCCTTGTTTATAAGGACTTGGTTGTAAGACCCACTATCCAGCAACTTTCGTAGGAAAGTCGTAAGCCCGACCTTAGGGAAAAGTTTTAGGTAGAAATTGACCTAACCCCTTAACCCAATTAAAACCCCCGGCCACTTCTAATAGAAGCCTTGAGTCCGACATTTGAGGAAAATGTTTAGGTGATAACACAAACCTAAACCCCTCACCTGGGCATCTTAGTCTAAACGATTAAGTTGTAAGACCGCTTTTTTAGGCTACTTCCTAAGGAAGCCATAAGTCCTACCCAAATAACTAAAATTCTCGGGCATCCTAGTCTATATGACTTGGTTGTAAGACCCACAACTTGGCCCGCTTAGCTTATAGTGCTACGTCGTGAGACCCATCAATAGGCAACTTCTAAGGAAGCACTAAGACCTAATCCAAATCCAATTCAAGCCAAATTCAAACCTCTAGGTATCATATTCTATAGGATTAGGCTGTAAGACCTATTTTTGGGCAACTTCTAAGGAAGTAGTAAGGCCCAACATTTTAGGAAAATCATTAAATAAATTGTAATGAACCTAAATTCCAAACAATTAAAAATAAATCTCTGGGCATCCTAGTCTATAGGATTAGGTTGTAAGACCCACTTTTGGGAAACTTCTTACTGAAGTCATAAGCCCCACATTTTAGGAAATTTGCTAAATAAATAGTAATGATCATAAACCCTAAACAATCAAATTCAAACCTAATGGGCATCCTAATCTATAGGATTATGTTGTAAGACCCGCTATCGGGCAACTTCTACCTGAAGTCGTAAGCCCCCACATTTTAAGAAAATTGTAAAAATAAATAGCAATGATCATAAACCTCAAACAAGCAAATTTAAACCCAAGGGTATCTTAGTCTAAACGATTAAGTTGTAAGACCCACTTTTCGGGCTACTTCCTAAGGGAAGCTATAAGTCCTACCCAAAAAATTAAAATTCTTGGGCATCCTAGTCTAAAAGGATTAGGTTGTAAGACCCACAACTCGAGCCGCTTAACTTATAGGGCTAGGTCGTAAGACCAACCGTTAGGCAACTTCTAAGGAAGCCATAAGACCTATCCAACTGAAATTATTCGGGCAACTCCTAACTGGAGCCGTAAGCCCCAAACTAAATAAATCTTTGGGCAACTTCTAATTGGAGCCGTAAGCCCCAAACTAAACAAATTAACGGGCAACTTCTAAGGAAGCCATAAGCCCCAACCCAAATTAAATCAAACTAAAATCCACATCTAACCACTTCAGTCTACTCGGGATCCCTGAGATGAGGCAACCCATGGCTGCTAATCAGATTCCCTGGACACTACGGTCAATGATTGCTAGTGTTGGTAGACTGAAATCTACGGTATACCCGGGACGACGGAACCATGGGATCTTGATCGGGTTTACCTCCATTTCCCCTACTATTGAGACTAAAATTAACTAAAATTTATTTCATCCTTAATCGAGAGTTCTCTCTTACGTTGTAAGAGGAGTAATTAACTATGGGTGCTTGCGCTCATAGGAAGTAAGAACCCCAGATCTATAAATCCTGACACTACCCTCAGGGGAAATCTGGTTAATTTCAATCTGACTTAAGGGAAGTGGAATCCTACGGCTGCAAAGCGGGATTCGTGCATTCGTGCCATTTTTTCTTGAGCCAACAAAGCCGTGTGAAGTAGAGTCCGAGCAGTGCCAACTAAGTGACGGTGCTTGCGTTCAGCAAGACCGTTTTGTTCTGGGGTGTAGGGGCTGGATAGCTGATGTTGTATGCCCTTGTGTTGAAGAAATGTATTGAAGTTTTGGTTGACATATTACCGTCCGTCATCAGTACGCACAGTTTGAATTTGCCTGTTAGTTTGTTTCTCAATGAAAGTAATGAAATTAATGAAGATTTGCGTGACATCAGATTTAAACGTAATAGGAAAAATCCAACTAAAACGAGAGTAATCATCTACTACAAGCAAATAGTAACGAAATCCCTTATGTGAGGGAATCGGAGAGGGCCCCCAGACATCTGAGTGAAGAAGAACAAGATGAGTTCTTTTCCTGTTTACAAAGTTAGGAAACACTAGTTTGTGGCTTTTACAAGATTTACAAAAAATGCAGTTATTGAGTTTGTGCTTAATATGCAGCAACAGATTGTTGTGAGAGATAGTGTTGAGTATGCTTTGGTGACGATGCCCAAATCTTTCATGCCAATTTGGCTTTATTACATGAATGGAGAAGAGAGCTTGCTTGGTTGTTTCTTGTTTCTTGATCGAGATCGGATATAAGCCTTCCTTACATAGACCTTGGAGCAGAATTTTGTGAGTCTGCAAATCCTTACAAACAAAGCCATTAGAATCAAACGTAATAGAAATATGATTGTCACGAACAAGATTGGATATAGAAATTAAATTGTGTGAAATGGACGGTATATGAAGTAAATGAGATAGAAATAACTTATGATCCGGGGTAGGAAGGATTCCTGTGCCTGAGTGAGCGATCGGAATAGACCTTCCGTCCCCTACCGTGATTTGGTCTGAGCCTTGATAGGATGAGGCGTGAATGAGATTGTTCGAGCCGTGTGTCATGTGCGATGACGCACCAGAGTCAAGATACCAATCCGTTGAGTTTGTCTCTGTAGATGCAAGAAAAGCGTGGTCGTTGTCGTTGACTTGAGAGGATGGCGGTGTGTAGTTTGCATTATGCATGTGCCAGCAAATATCCGCCGTATGACCACGTTTGGTACATATTTGGCATATTAGAGACGACTTTGGTCCTGGTTTTGATGGTTGATTAGATGTTTGTTGTTGTCGACCTCACCCACGACGGCCTCTTCCCGCATAGTGTTAAGAGAGGTGTGAGAGTCAGGATTGTTGGAGAAGCATTGTGTGTCAGCTCGAAGATGAATTTCTTCACTGATTAGCATAGCATTGAAGTTGTCGAGAGAGATTGGTGACTGCAGTGTCCAGATGGAGGTTTTGAACGACTGGTAAGGGGGAGGGAGACCATTCAAGATATATAGAATGATATCTTCGGTGTCTAATGTAGATCCGACGGAGATAATCTGATTGACTAGTTTCTTGATATCCATCAAATAATCCTGCATAGACAGGTTCCGCATTGAGATATTATGGAGCTCATTCTTGAGCTGGATTACCTTGGATCTATTGGATGATTGAAAATGAGTTTGAAGAGCCGTCCATATTTTATGGGTCGACTCAAGGTGCATGACAAATGGTATCACTGGAGCCGATATAGTGGAGCATAGTGCCGCGGCGAGGCTTTGATCGGTGATGAGCCATTTGTGTGTTTTGGGATCAAGATCGATGAGATCTTGATCAGAGGTAATCGGAGTAGAGGCTGATTCTGATGGTGGTTCAAGAAACTGAGCAAAGCTGTTTGCCTTGAACAGTTTGAAGATATGGTTACGCCAAATTGGATAGTTGTCCAAGGAAAGATGACGCGGAACTAGTGGTTTGAGATTGGAGAGGATGAATTTGAGAGAGGGATAGATAAAAAGCTTATCGGTGGATTCGTCTTGCATTGCTGTTGTACGAGAAGATGCCGACGGCGAAGCTTCGGTCGCCATTGATGGTCCTTGAGATCGAACCTCTTTTGATACCATGTAGAAACGCAAGAACAGGGCAGGAGACAAAAACAGAAAAGAAGAGAAGAAGATGAAACCATAAATTGTATTTTATGACCCGACAGAGTGTCCAGAAGGAACAATTATTAGGTCAGGTGACCTGACGTAGTTCTACGTTTGGATGCCAATAACATGTCGCCACGTGGTCTTACTCAATACCGCACGGCCCGACGACTTGACCCGGGATTGCTATGTTCACGTATTGCTCGGTATTGCTCTAAGTATTGATCGGTATTGCTTTGCTATATTGAAAATATCGCTCTGTGAAGACCAATACCGAGCAATACAGAGAAAACTCGGTATTGCTCGGTATTGTCTTCACATAATGGTATTTCTCGTTATTGCCGAGCAAAATCGATCAATACCGAGCAATACCTAGCAACACTCAAACATAGCAATCCCGTCTCCGTTCCGGGTCAGGGTTGTCGGGCCGCGCGGTAAATAGTGAGAACACGTGGCACTATTTTACTGGTGTCCTAACGTAGAACTATATCAGATGACCGGACCAAATAAAGATCACCTCAGGGTGATATACACCTGTTCAAAATATTGTTGGTTATTACAATCTGTAGTGAGAGTACATATGTTATTTATTGTTCTAATAGATTTCAATTGGGATAAATTTTTATTAACTCTAAAACAATTTTTTACTGAAAAAATTTAAATAAAATTTTTTATACTATTAAATTAATTTACAAAATAATAAGATAGCTGTCTTAGACCAAATCATACTAAAAAATGGACAACTATTTGATAACGTTTGATGCTTCCATTTTACCCTTCTGTTTTTTATCCAAATATTAAAATTAAAACCACATTATTTATTTGATCAAATTAAAAATAAAGACAATTAAAACCAAAAGATAAAATAGAGAGCTCTTAATAAGGAGAGATTATTACATGTGGAGTCCATACATAAATAACCTTTCGGTTTTACGAGTGTGAGCACTAAAAGCATAGTTGCTATTCTCCACTGTATTTTTACTATTCACAATCACAAAACTGAACTGTTCTCTGCATCCAGACTCTACTAATAATAATCTCTTCTTAATAAGGAGAAATTATTCTGTGTGAGATTGAACTTTTTTTATGTTTGGAGGCAAATCAGGTGAAGCCACTTCAGCGATACCGAACCGCTGTATATAGCAAAGAAGTGACGTGACACATTCTAATTGATCTTGGAAATACATTTGATGTCCGCACGGAATAATCAATTCATTAAGAGCCTCTAATCCTTCAAAGAGCTGGTGAATAAAACGTAAGGATATAATAAAGAACAAAATGAAAAAAACAAAAACAGAGTTGACTGATCATACTTGCAGATCAAGCAAATCAGTTGCAAAGTTCATTCCAAATTTATTCATCTCTTCCTCAGAGAGTACCAAACCAATCTCTAATCCTCCATCTTCATCTCTGCTCTCAGCAAGCGATATGGCTCCCGTTTCAAAAATAGACGCAATATCCACCTTCACCGGCTTCCCCCACCCAAAATCAGTCTCGTAAACCCTCAGCTTCGGCGATCCAGCAACCGTTAACGGTCTGCTCCGTGCTACTTCTAAGTACTTATTGATCGTCGCTTCTAACACCTCACCGACATCCCTCCCTTGCAACTCATCTATGCTCTTCCCTATCTCCATGGCCGCCACCTCTGTTCCATTCTTGCCCACCAGCTCTGTTACATTCAACTCTGCCATACAAGCCCCCAAGCAGTTCCCAAAGTAGTTTCTTGGGATCGGCGGCCTCATCCTCGATCTCCAATCCACAGCGCAAGAGAAATAGCACTGCTGGATGTCTTTGTTGTAAGCTCGAGCTTTCACAAGGCATCTCCATACATAAGCGCAAGTCACAACAAAAGCAGACAAATGAAACGATGGCTTCCCTTCTTCCGCTCCTGATGCTTTCACCCGCTCTTTTAGCCGCAAAATATGATCTTTAAAGAGAGTGAAAGTTGCAGAGACCAAGTTAGGATCAGAAGCTGGCAAGCTATCTTGCTCCTTCACCCCTTTGTATTGAAGCATCTTCTCGGATATTTTCCGCTGAATGTCGTGGGTATCCACAATAATGGATCGGTCGAGGAATGGAGGGGAGATGTTATCAAGTGTAGGTTCACTCGACCGGCAAGCGGCGGCCAAGGACCGGATGAATTGCGTCGATCCGGATCCGTCACAGGCGGCGTGATTTATTGCGAAACTGATACAGATGCCTTGTGTCGAAAAAAGCGTGATTTGGATCGAGATGGGTGGAAATTGCCCGCTTGGTGATGACTTGGATAGTTTGGGGACCAGAAGACGAATATTCTTGAAGTTTCTAGGGTGGTGGCCGGAGATGTTACGGAAGTCGTCGCCGATGAACTCGGCGACGGTGATAGCGACGGAGTCGCCTTCCTCATAGGCAATCTCGAACTGGTCATCGGAATCAGGGGAGGGGCGGATGGATCCTGCTAATGGGTAGAAGCGGTGGAGGGTGAGGGAGAGGGATTTGGTGAAGATGGGAAGGTTGTGATCTATGAAGTGGGAGGTGGGATGAGGAAAGTCGTAGAAGAAAAGCCTCTCTACCGGTTGCGAGATTAGGAGCCATAGTGCGTCGAGGAAGGCGAGAGGTTGCGGAGGCTGAGATGGAAGTGAGGGATAGGGAGATATTTGGATTTCGTGGAGAACTCTCACAGCAGCCATGGCAGAGCTGGGCTTGGATGTAAAAGGAGATAAGTGTCTAATAGTTGGCTGAGGAAGGAGATAAATGGCTGTCCTCCTGCAATGCGTTCAGGATGAAGTAGGCAATTTGATTTTGCCAATCATTGGTATGAAGGATACATACCACCATATAACACATTCCACTACATTTTGTTCTATTTCTATTATTATAGTACTAATATATCTTTTTGTTTGTTACAACAGTAATAAAAATAGCATTATCAAAATATCATAATATATATATATATATATACAAAATACATGTGAGAAAGAACTCAGCCTTTTGATATCATGTTCAAATAAATGAATAAAATATATGTAAAAAAGCCATATATTAGCAAATAAAATATACCAAAGAGGAGGAGTTATTTGCTATGTTATTCAGTTACATGTATTGGTCATGGCTAGATGGAAAATTAGCATCCTATGGTGAGAAAGAAATTTTACTATCAAGTGAAATAATGAAAATTGACATTATTGAACGCCAATTTTAGATTAAGTTTCCCAGATTATCTTTTTTATTCGAATATTTATATAACATGCTCCCAAGAATGATGTAAAGAACCTGTGACCGGCCATTCTCATCAGTTAACTGAAAATAGAGCTAAATAAATGTCTAAACAAAGAGAATGTTTGGACAGTTGTTTACCTCAGATCCTGATGTGGGTTATCCTAATCCGACGGAGCAACACAACCAGGCTAAGCTACCACTACTCCTTAGTTATTACTGCATTTTCTTATTTTCCATTTGGATGCCATATATTGGCTCCACTAGTATTTTCTCTTTTCCGTTTTGAGGACCACTCCTCCTCTTTATACTTTTGCATATAATTAGCCTGACAGCTGAGGAAAAGGATAGAGAAGAATATACCAAATTCCTTTACAAAGGTTTCTTGCCTTTCTTCCCCTGTCTTCCTCGGTTTGCTTTCTCTTCTCTATTTTCTGCAGGTGATTTGCGGTTCCACACCACTATTTTTGGCGACGTATCAATTCTATTAATGCAAAATGTGACAAGTTTGAAAAATACAATATATGGTCTTTAGCAAAGTAGCCAAATTCAATTGCATATAATATTTGCATCTAGATATTGTTTTTAACTCAAACAAATTTGGATACCCATGTAACTACAGCAAGATTATTCTTGATTAAACAGCTACAAGGAGTTTATTAATATAAATCCAAAATGAAAAGCTCTTTAAAGTCTCCATATTCTATTAAATATATTTGTTGATAATAGAAATAGATCTTTTCAACTACAGGGAAAAAATTGATGCAATCGCTTGCGGGTCTATAAAGAAATATTTTAGGAAATATTAGTACTCTATCGATAGGGCTGTCAATATTAGACCCGACCTGAAAATCCGATCCGAACTCGATCCGAAAATTTCGGGTTTGTGTTGACCCGAACCCGAAGCGGGTCGGGTTTGAGTCCGAAAAACCGACCTGTTTGCAAAACCGGATCGGGTTCGGGTTGACCCGGAAACTCGGGAATGACCAGAAAAATATGTTTTCCTCGGCTGCCCACAGTCCACGTGTTGCCTGCCCCGGCGGGGAGCCCGCTGCCCTGCTTTTCTACCCCGGCATCCCACAACCCACGTGACAGTGTGGTCCGCGTCTGCGCGTCGAATCGTGTTCGAGAGATCTAGCCGCGCGTCTCCTACCGCCCTGCCCGAGTCAAGTCGCCGCCCTGCCCTGCATCCACTTGTCGAATCGCCTACACCGCTGCCGCTGCCCCGCCGACGCCCGCTTCCTTCTACCGCTGCATGAAATTTCAGGTAACGGGCCGGGTTCGGATCCCGAATAGTACCGGATCAGTTACTGTTTTTATCCGAACTCGACCCGTGACCCGAAATTGACACCCTATCTATAGAATATAGATACAATAGTTTCAGATAAAAAAAGTGGAGCAGGATAGCCAGGAACATTCAGCCCGTTAGTTGCATAACAAATATAGAATATAACAGATAAGTGGAAATATGATTTAATGAATATTTAACAATACTCTATTAGGAGCTTCATTATCAAGAGAAATAAATAATTTATAACAATGCAGTTTGTTTGAATAAAATTAAGCCTCCTATTTAGTTGAAGTTGTAGTCGATGCAATAAAATAAAGAAGTTCCAAGCCTCTGAGAATGAAGCCTACACGTCTCCCTCCGCCGCCTGTCCGTGAGAGAAACCCAGCCTCCGCCGACATCTGTGCGAGACCCCTGCCGCCGGTCTTCCACTCACAAGCAACCTGTCCGTCCGATCTTCTCCAAGATATATACAAAGCCTCGACTGTCCGTCCGTCCGTCGCCTGCGACCTCGACTCAAGCAAGCACCGTGTCTCCCCTACCTCCCCACACGGGGAGGGGACGTTGGGAGGCTACTGAAATTTCTCCAAAATTTTCAGACTTGATTAGACTTTTGGAAAGTGCTTAATTGACCAATTTAATTAAAGTTTAATCTAATCAAAATTTAAAGGATTAAAACAATAATAATAACAATTTGAAGAAAGAAAAAATCAAACCTTTAATCACTGATTTAATCCACTAATTTCTATTCAACTTCTGACTTGTGGGATTGCTCTTTTGGTGACAAATTTCTCCTTTTGAAGATTCAATTATTTCCCTTAACTTGGTTAGACAACAATCTCATAAACAAGAAAATACTAGTTCCATTAAATTGTTAATGTGATTTAACGTAGTTCCAGTTAATCGACAATCAATTAATTAACTAATCCACTAGTTAACTAATTAACTAATTTTAAAATAGATTTAAGACTTGTACAATTAAAATCCTAAGTTAAAAATTTAACAGTACTTTTGAGTGTTTGATTAGTATTATTTGTAATGTTTTGAAAATCTAATCAGGCTAGTCGGTTCAACCGTGAAACGGTCGGGTGACCGGTCTAATCCAACTTATAGAAGCGACTTCGCATCGAATCGGTCCAGTTTGAAAATAATCGACCGGTTATATAATTTTTTTAATTAAAAGTTAAATTATACTTATTATATGCACATTATCTCAAGTATTACACATAATATATTTAGATAAAAGTGTGTACTTCACACCATCTAAAGGGTTACATAAAATAATTTAGAATGAGAATTTGGCTAATTGGGCTTCAAATTTAAGCCTTCTTAGGCTACAAATTTGTGCTAGTGTATTATAAATTTATTATAATGTAAATTATAATAATTATTAATATAATTTTTATGTCATATGTTTCGACCCTGTTAGAATCGATCGAACCGTGAACATTTCATTTCCGGTTAGTTGTATGATCCAATTTTCACAACCTTGATTATAGAAAACTTATAGTCAAAATGAACGTCTTAGAAATATGAACCCAACGATACCAAATTCGACTCAATCTGAGCCTAAATGGGTATGAATTGAAGACCCGAAGCGCTATTGGGAGGTTCAAAACACAATTTGGATTAAAAAATAGTTTCCAAATATCATGCTTATAATCAAATAGAGCGGCTCGATGAGACGAATCCAAAGAGCCCAAGATCATGGAATTCTGACATCATTAAGACCTTCAAATGTCTAACAAATGGTCCACGATTAAGGGATTTAACATTGGTTGATCATTCAAACCACTCAACATTTACCCTTGATCTTCCTCCTATTTACGAGCCATGCAACTCTAGAAAAACTATAAATAAACACATCCTTCCTCTTAAAAAGAGATTCCTAAGCTTAAGGAGAAAAGAGAAAGATCGATTTTGCCTCCTTGCCTTCTCGACCACTGCCTGAGTTCCGTCGGACCACGACTTGAGGCATTGAGCTCAACCAGGCCACCACCTGAGGCCCAGAGGTCTACCTGACCACCACCTGAGGCCCTGAGTTCTGTCGGACCACCACATGAGGACCTGAGTTTCGCCGAACCACCACCTGAGGCCCAGAGTTCTGCCGGACCACCACCTGAGGCCCGGACTTCCGTCGGACCACTAACTAAGGCACGTACTTCTACCAGACCACCACTTGAGGCCCAGAGTTTTACCGGACCACCACCTGAGGCCCGAAGTTCCACCGGACCACCACTTGATGCCCGGAGTAAGCTCAGAGTTCTGTCGGACCATCACTAGTCGCCCGGAGTTTCTCCGGACCATCATCTGACGCCGGACTTCCGTCGAGTCATGCCCGACACTGAAGTTATGCCAAACTAATGCCATGCTACCAATTGATGCTTGAATTTTCAAGTAGCACCGAACTTTTTCTAGTCCACAAAGTGGCGCTTGACTTGCATCATTATTTGTCACTAAATTTCAATCAAACGGTTGACATTTGTAATATGGTCGCCGTCAAGAATGAGTCAGCCCATTATAATATACCCAAACACTAGTATAATCATTTCACAATCGGCTAGGCCCCGTGGGTTTTCCCCTTTCCATGATTTTCCACGTAAAAATATCTTGTATGTGTTCTCTGTATGTGAGCTGGATATCCATATAACGCTAAGACACAGTATTTTAGCTCTATCGCCACATATATTTTAGCCCGTAACAATTATTAATTTATTGAAATCAGGGTATGGATGATCCCAAATTTAGTTTCACAAGTTTCTAATTTAAATAGTGTCAAGATTCATATTTGATGAGATGATTTTTTTGGTGATGTATTAGGCTACATACTTTGAAAAGGGTTTTTATATATCAATGTAAATTGTCCCTAATTATATTATAAAATACAACGGTCATCTTTACAAACTTAAAGATCTGTATTTTCTCAAATGGCTCATCCTCATACAAACTTTGAGAAATTTAATTATAAATATTTAAAAATTAAATGTATTCAAAATATGATGTAGAGTTAAATACTATCTTTGAATCACTTTATGATGTTTAATTGTTTCTAAGAAAAAAAAATCAGAAATTTAAATTTTTGTGTAGTTGTTTGTTAAATAAAATCAATAATTTTGAATTATGAAGTGTTAGTGGCTCAAGGCCCATAGAAGGTTGGAGGCAACGGGCGACTAATGGCCTAATGGGAGTGATGGCTAGTAGTATCAGGCAATAACGGCTGATGACACTGATAGTTGAGACAGTTGCTGGTGACAATGGTGGTAGCTACGAGCGAGGGGTTGGCGTGGCAAGGGAAAAGTTATAACGTCCGGAT